TCTCCTCACGCAAGTGGAAGGATGTACAAGCCAGGAAACTACTCCAATCTACCACTGTACCGGAAATGTCGGGGGTAAAATTATAAGTATAAGGGTGGGGAGAGGGGAAAATTATTTATTGAATTTTATTTCACGCATCCGTGTTCGTAGATACCTAAAAATATCTTCTGAAATGCCTGCACCCATATATAATCTCCATTTTCTTTCTTAAAACACCTTTATCAGGATACGTGACAATAGCCAATTTCTCTTCCTGGCACAGCCAGCTATATTTACCACGAATATTGCCGGGTTTTATCTTCCTTACCATTCTCCACTTGACACAAGGGCTCCTACCATACCTCTCTTTGTAAGGTGTTAAATATGAATACGGTGAATCTGAGCTACAGTTGCACTGGTAACTTGGAGAATTTATTTAAGAATCATAACGTTAAAATTTTAAGACGGAAAGAGGTGGAAGGGAAGAAAAGATGATATGCAACTGCCAAAATTAAGGTAATTGTTCATTGGATGGGAAGTGCTTAACGGAAGTCATCGTTTACATATATCGTTGAGTTCAGCGATAAGAATGGTTTCATGAATATATACATTGCATGTACTAAGGGCCCTTTTAAAAAGAGAGTTTATAATCATGCATCATCTTTTAGGTTGAAACACTATATATATGACAGCAAGCTGGCCGATTGTGCCTAGAAATACAAAGAGAGGTATAGCATTTTAGGAAAAGAGGTATTTGAAATATCCAAGGCACAGATCCTTCGTTTTTGAGTTAAGTTTAAAGTTTACGGCAAACGCTGTTAAATGTACAACCCAAGATACAATGCAAAAGTACTTATTACTATAGTTTGTGATACCACGCATCCTGTCTCAGCAAAGGTTGGATGACTCGACTGACTTTGGTTTGGAAACGTAATGGGTATTTTTATAAAGCGACGGAAAATGGAACAGAGAGAAATAATACAAGGCATATTGATACAGGAAAATCGAAAGGAAGCAACAATTGGCCAATTCAAGAGTTTGTGTGAATTGATAACAAAACAGTGACAAAGAAGGAGACTAAAACATCAAAATTTACTCAGATCAGCAAACAACAGAATGTTGTGGAGAGCTGTGATCGCCAACGCACTGAAAAGACTTGGCACATAAAGCAAGACAGAAAATATAACACGATATAAGTTGCAAACAGAAGATTCGTTCTTAACATAAAGCTTAGCATGCGCAGGCTTCTCTTTTTTTCCTTTTGCTCTATTCAGTCGAGAACTTTCACCTTTTAACTTAAAAGAAACAACTCTTGGATTTTTCTTTACCATATAGGAAATGCTAGCAGCACTTCTCTTGTACTTTAGAAACGTCATGAAAAGAAACTTAAAAACTGTTTATTTCCGGGGTTAAGCGCGAGTAAGTGAAACATTGGTCGACAAAACCGTGGTTAAAGAGGACCACTTTATATTTATATAATTGCGCTTAAATTATATTTGAAATGTGCATTTATACAAAAATCAAGGTTTCGTCTCTTTACTATAGTGTAGTGGCTCGCAAAGTATTCCTCTCATCCAGAAATATCTAAACTATCAGATAAAGGGTTACTTGGAGCGATTGAAATACCCTTTCATACAACCTAGTATTTTTTTAAGGGGATCTTTTAACATCAATATTTGTTATTAATATAAACTTTATTTTTCGTGGTTACCAGTGTTTAAGTTACTATCCCTATTTTCTTTTATTTTATTAGAAAGCTAAATTAATACAGTCTACACACTAAAATAATATAGATACTTTCATTCGAGTCGCTGTAAAGGGAATGTTAATGTATGGTGCCACTGCTTGGACATTAGCTAAAACCCTAGAGTCAAAGCTTGATGCGTCTTGGGTAAGACGGTAAACTACATCCGACAGAAAGGCCTCTGAGTGGGAGGTTTTGAGGAACGTAGAATTGCTGGTGTTCCCAGGTCCATCCTGACCTGGAGTGGTAGCACCTTCTAGAGTCCCGGTTATAGGCAAACAGTTAACCCGAAGCTGTGGTCAAAACAATAAGAAAATCTAGAAATAGGTTTTAATACTAGCAATACATTTTGTAAAAAAATATTACCAGCAATATATTTTTGAAAAAAATTTTCCAGCCATAAATCTTTGGGAAAAAATCTTACCAGTAATACGTTTTTTAACAGAAATATTAACAGCAATAAAAAATCTTGGCGGCATTAAATAACCCATTGAGGTTGATATGCCGTAAAACAGAACAAACCAAACCATCTAAACGTGATGAAATCTACACTCGGATGCTGAGAGCTATACTTAACATCTCTTGGAAACAAAATCCAACTAGATCACAGCACTATGAACCTAGCAGACAGAAAAAAAGATTCTCTGCGTGGATGAAATGAAAGCATCTTTGATTTGGTGGCGTTAAAATTTACAAGCCATTTATTGCCTCATTTAACCACAGATTGGTGGTCATTTTCAAGAGCAGCTCCCAGGTTTTTCTTTGTCAGATGTGTCGGATTTGCAACTAAGACAGGAATAAAGGTTTGTGTCATCGGCATAAATACATACTTGGGAACTGATGACATCTGTCAATGGAAAGCAATACACGAAACAGGATGCATGTCAAAAGGATAAAAGTTGCTAAGGTACACGAGCGATAGGAAGTTGTAGAGAACCATAATGTTCCACTTTCTGAAAAGAAGAGAGCACATGGAAGAAAACAAAAACGAACGAATGAACGAAGCCTCGTTTTCAAAATATTTAATAAACTGACCTTCTGATATAGAGGCGGTGTTAATGTATGGTGCCACGGCCTGGACCCAAACTAAAACTCTAGGGTTTTTACAATCTTACGCGAACGTAAAATGTGCTTTCGACACTACTAGCAAGCAAAACAAGAACTCGCGAGTATTCTGATGCTCTGCACATCTAGCCAGGGAGCAAGACAAGTTGGCCGACCAGCAACCACCTGCATTGACCAGCTATGTTATGACATAGAATGTCACCCTAATAACCTTCTGACTTTGATGCGTGACGGTTGGCGTGATAGACTTATGGATGTCCGAGATATAGCTCGATCGAATAAAATGGTAATAAGAAATAATATCGGATAAAAGAATCTATTAAAAAAGGACTGTTATTTACGTTTCGGGTATAAATGTAGAACTAGCTTGTATAGATATGAGAGTCCCCTTTACGCCTTCCATAAGTATGGCTGATGCTAACCTCCTGGGGGTTAGCATCAGCCATTAGCAACCTAGTTGCTCCTTCTTGGGCTAATGTTCTCGTCTGATATGAAGTGGAAAGACTTTATGAAAACCATTGGTAGGTCAGCTGCTAAGTAAGAGTGTTCACTGTGTGGTGATAGATAACTTTTCTCTCCAGAATCTATCTTACATGTGTCCATATTTCTTTAGAGTAGTTATTCTATTTACACTATTTGTTCTGATTGACATCTTTATGGTCATATTCACGAAGTTTCGGCCGGTGTACGCTCCGGCTTTCTTCAGATGATATACTTTGGAATTTCGAACCATTATCTATCTGACATATCTATAAGTATAACATTCGTCCATGGTTAGAATATTGCTGCCACATATGGCCCGGTACTCCTGCTATATATTTAGAGATCCTTAATAAGATCCAAAGAAGAATTATCAATATTATTGATCCTGATCTGGCATCTCAGCTTCAGTCACTTCCCTAACGTCATAATGTAGCTTGCATGTGCCTTTTTCTGTAATTTCATGGCAACTGTTTGGATGTAACTCTTTTCCTATGACACCGAGACTTTATGAATTTAAGCGCAGTACTAGATTGGCGGCAAGGTCTCATCCTTTTACAGTTGACGTGGTTAGATGTAACCGTAAGGTCTATGTTAACGGTTTCTTTTCTCGCACTTCTCGCTTGTGGAACTCTCTTCCAGCTACATGCTTTCCAGTCAACTTTAATCTTTAAAAACTTAAATGCAATGTCAATTGTTTATACTGTTTTCTAGATTAGGGGTCGGCAACCTATGGCACGCGTGCTACACGTGGCACGCCAAGCAATTTCCAATGACACGCAGCCGCAAATGACATCACGAATTTCGAACCAGTAGTTACAACCACACAAAGAAGATATTTAGCTGTTTCAATTTTAATATATATTAAAGGACATATGCTATATATTACTATATAAAATATATTGTAGAGCAGGTATGTTGACCTTGACTTGTATAAAAACATATATGCTGTTGGCATACTGAATGATTTTAAAACCCTAAGTCGGCATATACTTAGGAAAAGGTTGCTGACCTCTGTTCTAGATTACTCTTCTTTCGTTGTCGTTCCTTAGTAATGTTTGTTTATTTTTAATTCTTCCACACCCAGTAACCTCTTGTGCCTTAGTGTGCCTTGCTTGAGGTGAAATCAGTTAAAAAAACAAAAACAAAAACAAAAAAAAACAACGAGAAATTAGTAAAGTTACGATTTAGTTATAGACACGGTTTCACTGATAAAAAAGTGGATACATGTTCGATTTCTGTCCCAGCCACAATCTTTCTATAGTAAGACTTCTCAACTTAGGTCGGTTGTTTTAGATTTCAATGTTTAACAAAACAAAAACAAAAAAAAACTCACAAGAATAGCAACTCAAATATAACGTTTATATTAATAATAAACACATTAATATATTAGAATATATTAAGATGTGCGATAGTTTAAGTGGTAGAAGTAGGATGCCTACAATTCTTGTAACCATAGGATAGTGAATTTACCAAATATTCGATGACTTGGTTTTGTATAGTAAACTTCTTTGCGAGCAACCTGACATGAAAAAATTGCTTTTGTTATCAAATTTGTATAGGACCAGATTTAATGAATAAAATAACAGCGCTTCTCCGTGTTGCAGTACAAATTTAAATCATATGTAATATCAATGGCTTTTGAGATCAGCTGACTGAAACTTGCTGTACGGAATCTATTGGGATTCGCATTGTGCATTCTCTCCTTTTGTTTCTGTTTTTGGCTAATGAGTCTTCCATTCTTTTCCCTTCTCTCTCTCTCTCTCTCATTATCTCTCTTGCACACTCTTTATGTCGTCTTAGACATTTCACTCCCTCTTCTCTCTCACGATTTATTTATCTACTCTGAGAAATTCTTTCTTTCTCTTTTTCTTTTTCTTTATTTATTTCTTAATCTAACACTCTCTTTCTCTCTAATATATTCTATTTTCTTGTGTGAGATTTTCCTTTTTCATTCATTCATTCATTCATTCATTCATTCATTCTTTCTTTCTTTCTTTTTCTTCCTTTCTTTTTCTTTCCTTCTTTCTCTTTACCACTCTCTCTACCACTCTCTCTCCCATCTCCTCTCTCTCTATCTCTTATCTTCTATTTTTCTTGCCTGAGAATATTTCTTTCTTTCTTTCTTTCTTTCTTTCTTTCTTTCTTTCTTTCTTTCTTTCTTTCTTTCTTTCTTTGACACTCTCTGTATATCTATATGTTATCTACTACTTTTCTTGTCCGAGAATACTCTTTCTTTCTTTCTTTCTTTCTTTCTTTCTTTCTTTCTTTCTTTCTTTCTTTCTTTCTTTCTTTCATATGTATTTATTGTCTAACATGTGTTTCCTACCAGAAACCCTTTTCTTTTCTATCTCTGTCTCTCATTATCTTTCGCTCTATTTATCAGTCTCTGTCCCTGTCCCTGTCTCTGTGTCTGTCTGTCTGTCTGTCTCTGTCGCTCTCTCTCTCATTTTTGTCTTCGGTTTCCTTCTTACAATCCTCTCCTTCTATATATATTTATCTGCCAACATCTATCGAGTGTTTCTTTTCTTAGAACATTTTTCTTTCTTTCTCTCTCCATCTTTCTCTCTCTCTCTCTCTCTCTCTCTCCCACCATCACGTTGTCTCTGCTTCTCATTTCCCTATCTTATTCTCGCTATTTCTGTAGTATTCTCTACACTCATCATCTGTATAAACTGACATCTCTAATATGTTTCCTATCATTTTCCCCTTTCTCTCTCTTTCTTTCTATTTGCCTCACTTTCTTACTCTACCTACCTTTCTTTCTGCTCCTCCTTCTCTCTTCATCTCTTCGTCTCTTTTTTTCTTTCGCCTTAACTTTTTCTCTCTCTCTACTAATCTCTACTCTCATTATCTGTATCTATTAACTTCTCTCGTGTGTTTCCTATCTTCGAACATTTTCCTCTCTCTCTCTCTTTATTTCGATTTGTCACTCTTTCTTTCTCTATCCATCTTTCTTTTTTCTTCTTCTTGTCTCCTCTCGCCTTACCTTTTTCTCTCTATATATTACTCTCTATAATCATCATCTGTACCTATTAACTTCCCTCGTGTTGTATTTCCTATCTTTGAACATGTTTCTATCTCTCTCACTTTCTAATTATCCCTCTTTTCACGATCTACCTCTCATTCTCGCCCCTTCTCCTTGTCAATCCTTTTTATCTCTCCTTACCTTTATCCCTCTCTCTCTCTCTCTCTCTCTCTCTCTCTCTTAGACTCATTGTTTCTTCTTCTCTTTCTCTATTCCCTGTTTTCCCTCCCTCCCTTTCTCCGCTCTATTTCTTTCTATTTCACTTGCTTTCTGGTCATATCTCACATTCTCACTCCCTCTCTTTGTCTCCCCTTATATTTATCTTTTTCTGGCTATTTCTGTAATAATTACAATCTTTTTCTATCTCCTCTTTCTTTATACTTAACTGTGTCTTTCTATGTCTCTTTGTCTCGTCTTCTCTTTGTCTTTTCCCTCATTTTCTCTCGTCTTTCCCGTTCCATCTCTTTCACAGACACACCCTTTCTCTCTAATAATCTATTTTCCATTTCTTCTCTTCTTCTTTATCTTCATCCCGCCATCTCTTAGCCTCACCTTTTCTTTTCCCTCCTTTTCCATTTCTACCTTTCTCCTTTCTCTTCATCTCTTTATCTGCCCATCTCTTTGTCTCACCTTCTCTTTTCCTTCTTTTTCCATTTCTCCTCTTCTTCTTTCTTGTCTTCTCTTTATCTCCCCACCTCTTTGTCTCGCCTGTCTTTTTCCCTCCTTTTCCATTTCTTCCCTTCTCCTTTCTCTTTATCTCTCCATCTCTTTGTCATTCGTGTCTTTTCCCTCCCTTTCTATTTCTCTTATTCTCCTTTCTCACCATCTCTCTATCTCTCCATCACCTTGTCTCTCTCAGTCTTTTCTCTCCTTTTCCAGTTCTCTTTTGTCTTCAGCTCTTTACCACTTCATCTCTCTCTCTCTCTTCCGGTCTTTTCCCTCTTTTTCCATTACTTCTCTTCTCCTTTCTCTCTATCCCTTTATCTCTCTATCTTTTCTATTTACCTCTACACTCCACACACATCATATATTACCCCTCATGTGTGCATGACGAAATACCAACAATCGCCCCAGTTTTTTTTTATGTCACTGGTCATACTTGACTCATCCGCTTTAATTTTACTCAACCTGGAAATGCTATCGTTTTATCCTCTCTTTATATAATCGGTCAAGGACAATTTCGAAAAAGAATATCAATAAAGACGAAAGATATCATAAGAGGGTTTAATTCGCGTTTATGTCCTATCCGTCAATAGGGGATCAGATTCCTAAACCAACTGGATGTAATTCTTATTGTTTCACAGGGCTTACCTCAACCTATCTCATTAGAACGTTAAACTATCCTCATATGACGGGTAACACTCTGCAGGCAACATAATTATCCATATTGCGTGACCAAATATGATCATGGCGACCATGGTTGAAAACGAGGCGCGCGACCAAGAACGATTTAGATTTGGTCAGAGAATCCATAGTGAAAAATTCGACTATATATATATATATATATATATATATATATATATATATATATATATAAATTCATGAATCGTTCATACAAAAACAAAATATATATATATATATATTTTCAATAAATGTGCAAATTATAAATTGCACCTTTTAATTGAAATATAAAATGAAATTATAATTGCACCTTTTTTAATTGAAAATATATATATATATATATATATATATATATATATATTTCAATAAATATATAATTGCACATTTTAATTGAAATATATATATATATATATATATATATATTTTTATATATATATATATATATATATATATATATATATATATATTGCAAATTATAATTTATAAATTCAGGAATCATTTACAAAAAACAAATATAGAGGTTAATGATTTAAATGGCGAAAATACATCTTTAAACTATATAAATGAGATACATCAACTCCAAACCTGTATATGAATGATATGATCCCTATTCATAAATTCCATACCTGAGGATGTTGTAGGAACAGACGAAAGCTTGTAAAAATTAAAAGACCTTATGCAACTGGAATTTATGAACAGGAATCATATCATTCATATACAGGTTTGGGGTTGATGTATCTTATTTATATTGTTTGCGAAGATGTATTCTCGCCATTTAAATCATTAACCTCTATATTTGTTTTTTTGTGTGAATTATTCATGAATATATATATATATATATATATATATATATATATATATATATATATATATATATATGTGTGTGTATGTATGTATGTATGTATGTATGTATGTATGTATGTATGTATTATAAACAGTTACATTGGGGTATTCAATTCCAGTGTAACAGTTTTTAATAAATACTTATTGCACTACTCTTGTATTGAGCCCCTTTTATCAAAATTAATGGTATGAACGTTTGAATTTATATTCTTTTCGCTTTTTTAGCTCAGTGGTAGGGACTCTAACACCAAATCGGTTGGGTTTCAATCCGGTCTTGAGGCATTCGGTTATCTAGTCGTACTGAAGAGCTGCAATACAGCGAAACACTACTTCTGCGAATGACATTATATATATATATATATATATATATATATATATATATATATATATAATAGTGATGCATTAGTAATTTAATCGCAGGACGCTAGTAATAATAATGAGACTCTTGATTTTCAAATAGACGGTGTAGATGGAATAAAAGGTGTATATGGAATTTCTTAATAATATATTTTAAAAGGAGGTTGAAAACAGACGCACCTCAAATGTATAAACATTAAAAAGTGCCCAGTAGAAGATTCCAGAATAGAACCTTACTACAGGTTTCAACCGCAATGTCTCCTCAAGCAAGTGGAAGAATCATTACGATTAAAACCCGGGTAGTAAGGTAGATTGCATTTTAGTATTTTTGCATATATATATATATATATATATATATATATATATATATATATATATATATATATATATTAAGGAACAATAACAATAGAAGAATAATCAGAAAGACAGTCGAGAACGATTGACATTGCCTGTAAATTTTTGACGATCTAAGTTGGCCGGGAAGTCTAACCAGAAAGCAAGAATTCGGAAATGAATTCCACAAGTGAGAAGTGCGACAGAAATTACTGTTAGCAGAGAACTTACGGCTACATCCAGTCAGTTCACCTATAAATTGATGAATTGATGAGACCTTGACAGTAAATTGCGTGATGCAAAGTGGAGTTTTCAAGCCTAAAGATGTTTGGGTTGCCATAGTTTTGGGTCAGTTTTTAGCCACTGGTAGCCTACCGTATATTTGAGGTCAACCTATACAGTCGGTATAACCCTAACTCAAATTTTTTAAGGTAAAAATCTAGAGGTCGACTTTTACGCCAGGTCGACTTTACGCCGTAATTTATGGTATATGGCGCACAGTAGACCACAAAACAGCCACCGCCAGATTTTAAATTAAGAGTTGTCCCTCTCCTAGACTGGTTACTGACCAGACCTATAGAGCCCAAACTGTCTTACTATTTCTACTATTTAATCCATAGATTAGGAAGAAGTGGGTATATACGAGAAAGTGAATGTAAGAGGAAAAACCATTTCAGATAGATAGCCGATTTCTCGATCTGATCAAGGAAACTAGTCACTTGATGAATTTTTTTACATTTTGAAATTATATTTCATTGAATACCAGAGACAAGGTGCTTTTATTAATTTTTGTATACAATTTCTCACGCGATCTAATAATTTTCTTCTTTTCAGATGATAAATTCTATAAAAACTGTCCGAATGTTCTTTTTTATCCGAGCATGAGAAATTGCATAAAAAACTAAATAAAAAACACCTTGTCTGTCGTATTCAATGAAATGTGCATGTAAGAAGTGTTGCTACCTAAATACAAAATATATATATATATATATATATATATATATATATATCGTCGTACCCTGACGATCCGCGTAGGTGAAACCTAGGTAGATTTGCCTGGCTCTTTACGTTCATAGTTAGATTTGCTCTACTTAGTGTATTGAGCAATTTGCTTAGTTATTTTGACTTTATTCGTGTTGGAGGTTTTTTTTTCTTTGGACTCTGAGCTTGGATTCTGGACGATTGTTTTCGCCTAAATTACATGTTCTTAGTTCATTCTTTTTTTTTATTCCTTACTTTTCCTTGGGTATTGGGGTTGTTTATTTACAAGCCAATACACCTAAGGTTTTTCCAGACGAGTATATTTACTTATATTTATAAGATTTGAAGCATTATACATCAAACAGTTAAAACCCAACCTAAACAAAATCAATTATGGCATCTCTACAAATATTCTTAAATGTCTATAATTGCTAACAGAAGCCATTGGTTTATACCAACGGCTTTCCTTACTTCATTCTACAATTCACTCTCGTGTAGTCATGTGTGACGTCATGAGATGCGGTGCGATTTTCGCTTCTAGCGTCTTATATGCGCGTGTTTATTGTTGCTTAGTAATCAACTATGTAAACAATGACAGACAATCATCACTGTCGTGTCCGTATATTGTTTAATATGTTTGTGATTTACATCTTTGATAATGGCTTAAGTGTTTGAAAGCTTAGATTATATTAAAAAAATATGGATCAATATTGTGAATTTCTTTCTTCGTTTAATGATAATGTTATCAAACTTATCAGATGTTA